CAGAGGTCCCAAAAGTTTGGTAAAAATGATTCCTAGAAGGGTAAGACGCTGGCGACAGAACTAGAAGATAGCTGCTAGAATAATCCAGTATCAGCTATACTTCAGGAGACTGCAATTGTACATCTTCGATACGGATCAGTGTGACATGGCAGTACGAGTGAAATAGATTGCATTCGTGACAGGCATTGTGCAAATTTGTTATGCAGTGGATGAGTACTATTACCGTAACAAATAGGAAACCGGACAACACTGAGCGAACAGAGATGGGATCACCGGAAGTTACAACTCATAAGTGGTCTCCAGGTTGCTTATGCGACCGAAGGCGATGGTAGTGAAAAGCTCACCAGTCAACTTATTGTTAAAATGCCCTATGAGCACCATTCATTCTCTTAACGTTTAATGAGAATACAGTAACAACAAACTCGAAGAGATTTTGACGTTCACTTGTCTGCGTATATTTTTGCAAGTCTTGTCATCCCTTTTTAGTTTATAACGTTTTATCTGTGTTTAGAGTTTCAACTCTGATATAATCCAGAAGCAGGAAAAACTGGCTCAAATGATGCATCATATGATTTCTGGAAAAAGCTTCGAGTTTATCTGCGCAGCCGCAGCCGCCACTGGAAAAATCAAAATTTTTGCCGCCAAGCTGATGGAGTGAGTTTAGCTAATTATTCATTTATAGGTTATAGAAATTACTTTATCAATTCTGCACAATAAAATGAGGTTGTTGTTGTTGTGTATTTATTTTATTATTATTGTCAAACAGAATTAACGTTGTTGTTGATCGCACAGAAAATAACGCTTGACGTGTCGAAAATCTGACCTAATTACATTCTTGCGACTTTGTATCAGGCAAACGACGAAAAGGCTATTGGTGAAAATCATGTTCTAGCCGAGATTCTCAAACGCGGTGGTTGCAAATTACTCTCAAACACGGAGGCATCGTTGCAAAAGTATTTGCCACATATCTCCAGCAAGGGGAACAGCTAACGCATCGAATATCCTGACCAACCGTGTTGTTTTACAAGAAAGGTGACCGAGAAGGGTTCTGAAAGTACAAACCTCTACGTGTTATCGAGTGTGTATAGTCTATTCAGAAAAATTCTGTTCGAGCAACAACTAGAGGATCATACTTGTATCACAGAAATGTTTTGACCCTTCACTATCTCTTGTGTTGAATCAGACGGAAGTACAGATTGCCAGTTGGAATTATTTTTATGGACTATGGAAGGACATTTGGCATGGTGGAGCATGGAGCGGTCTTACGGACGTTGGAAGGTCAGGGAATTGAAAAGGAATACATCCAAATTCTACAAAAATATATTGAGGAAACTTCAGCATAAAGATTCAGCTTTTTGAAGATCCCGCTGAAGTAGTGCTTCTAATGGAGTTTGCCAAGTAGACAGCACATTGCCGAAACCGTTTAATGCGTGTCTTGACTCGGTGTCTTGATTCAAACTGATGAGAAGCGAATTCGCCCAACAGGTTACAGTGACAGTCAACGATTACTAAATAAAAGAATTCAGCGAGTGTATCTACTTTGGAAGGACTAGTCGTCTCGGACCATTTCTGTGGTTCAAAGCTTGCTGGAATTGTCCTGTGACGTGGAGTACGTACTGACGAAAAGTTGACATTCTTGAAGATGGAAAATTAGCCGTTATGGTTAGAATCACGTTGTGTAATAGCATGAAGATGCAACATCAGCTCTTTATTAGTTACGACACTTTGGCATTGACGAAAAAAGGATGAAGACCCACTGAGAGTGCGGTAGTGGGTTAAAGAAAGAAGGATGCTAGGAATTTTCATCAGGAACAAACTGAGAAACGAAAAAATTAGGAGGCAGATGGGAATGCAAGACGTGGCATCAGCTTCGCAAGAAACAAAACGACAGTGGGCAAGTCACATTGCATAGCTGACGGATGAACGATGGGCTTCAGTAGTGACGAATGTTTACTTGAGGGGCTGAAATTTCTCGGATGAAAGACTTAAGCTCAGGTTGTAGATGAGCTTAAAGAAAAATATGGAAGTTTGTGACCTCAAATCACACGAGACAGATGACCGTGGGTATTAAGATTTAACAATGATTAACCTCGTTAATCACGAATGAAGGCTAGTTAATTCTTGTTGTTGCTGTTTTTGTCAATTATTGTTTAAAGCTAA